AAATAAATATGCTTAGAAATTTGAGAAAATCTAATAATTTGGAACAAAAAAAAACTCCTATAACATCTTATAATTTGGAACAGAGGGAGTAGCATTTATTATTAATTTATTGTGAGAAACCCACTAAAAACTTAGCGTTGGAGTTGCTCGAAAAAACTTTTAGTTTGTTTTGAGTCTCTACTTGACTATTATTTATTTCAATAAATGGATTGACTACTACAATACAAGACCTTAGTTTTTGATATTTTCCAGGATATAGAAGATAGGTTAACTTAGCTTGAAACACTTAAAAGGCCTTTTAAGAATGAATAGGTTTAGTGACTATTCATGTTCATCAGTCAAATGTTGATTACTCACGTATGATATTTGCAAAAGTTTAGGAAAAACTGTAAATTGAGCTTATGATGGCTACCGACTACATAACCAAGCTCTTAGCCTCAAGGGATATTAAATCAATTATACATAAACTCTAAACCCTTGAAATCTTTCATAGATGTTGTCATGATCGCAAGAGGCGTATGTGATTGAGTCCTTGTGGTCCTTGCCGTTGACAACATTTTGTTGAACCTCCTTTGAAATGCTTCTTTGGTACTAGGCTATGCTCAATTGGATTCTGCGCCTGGCTGTGCTTCTTCACTCTTTCAATAGTTTTGGAATAACAACTACCTTCCGGATCACTTCGTTTATCTCCATTAACTCTAGGGTTAATGTCGAGTGGGCGGACTGAAAATAGTTTCCTTGTATTATGTTTCCATGTTTTAATTTTTTTTGCCGTGGATCCATAGCCTAAGTTTTATAAATTCCGTTTGTAAAACCAAACTTTATTCATTGTCTAATGAAATATTTACCATTTAGCAAAAAAAAATATGATGTCATGATCCTCAACTATTGTGTTCGATCCATGCTCACCGCGCGAAGAACCAAACGAGTCTTCATTGAAATCAAAGAGGATTACAATGAAATCTGGCCAAGTTCTCCTCTAAACTTGACTAGTCAACAAGTTCTGAATCTAGACACACCTCAAATCCAAGATAAGACTCTAACATAATAAGAGGGTCCCTATTTATAGTCATAGGTCTACATTCACCAATTCACTCAATCAATTAAAACATATTGGCACATCAGCTTTCTTAACTTATGAAGCCTTCCCTTGTACTCGAGACTTTTTTCTTGTCATATAGAAGGACCTACATGGCTTATCAGTATACTCTAGATAAACGAATAGACTTTGATACAATACTAGCTACTTCAAGAATGCTAACAGTTTTATTTCATATATATTTTATTTTTGATATATAGTAAAGTCCAATGAAAACGTAACGTATATTAACTTATATATACTTTAACAAAAAAAAAAACTTATATATAATTTATATGCTATTGCAAACAATACGCTACTTGTAACACTAGTTTATCTTTAGCAATTCAATTCATACAAAGCTTTTTAAMCAAAAAAAAAAAAAAAACCGTTGTCACCAATTATGAAATGTCTGTTCTAATCATGGATGTAGCGAAACAAATGTACTCTTTAACTGGAAAGTAGGTAAAGTTTCATAGCTTTTTAAATCACTATTCAATTCATATTTCACATGTTATGTTGTTCCGCATTCATTAAAAGTCATTCAGTGTTTGTTGTTGCATTATTAGAATCTTTTGTTTTTGTGTTTTATGAATGTTAATGTCACTTAAATAAATAAAAGAATAACAGATGGTGTGTACTTTGTATGATTTACAAAAAAAATGCGTCGTCAACTAACAAATTACCATTGCAAAGCAACCAAAATTGTAAGATTGTATTAGTTCATCAAAAGACCTTCATTCTTTTTATTGCGAAGATTGTATCATGGATTTGGCCATCTATTCTCCTAGAGATTTGTCGTGATAGACGAGACACCATTGCGCTACTAATTGTTTGAAAAGTATCGGTGGAGACTGAGCCGATGTGAATAGCCATAAGAAACAGAGCCAGCCATGTATGAATGTATGCCCCACACCCTCAACGATAGAGAACAAGTGTCAAATCTGTTCACTTGCCTCACGGTAAAAGATTAGGCGATCACGTGAGTCATGGTGAGTTTCTGACTTTGGGACGGGTGACTTCCCACGTTTTATTTGTCCATAAACCAATTATAAGCATTTGTTATGTACATGTTTGTAGGAAGGCTAGTAGTGTTCTGAGGTTTGGAACGGAGAGGGATGCTTAGTTTTCTTATAAATTCACTATCGCAATAGTAATATTTTGGGTATTCGGCATAATAAAAGAAGATCCAAGTAGAATATATATAAGAGGAAATTTGGGAAAATACCTTTCTTGTGTTCATAAATTTGAAAAATACACTTTGTTTTTATTTTTTTGAAAAATACACTTTTTAGAATATTAAATTTACTAAAATTCCTTAATCAAAATGAATAATAATCTATATATCTTATATATTTTAAAAAAGTTTGTGATTAGTCTCGATTCTATCTTATAACAATATTTGTGTATCTAAAACTTGAATTCTACGAAAGAATATATATTTTCATGCTAACTGAACCAAGAATCCAAGACCAAACCAATTTTTTGGTTGATAATGGAAATTGTGCTCTAAAGAAGGTTCATATAAACCAATCAAATTGAAAAAACCGATTAGTTTGAAAATAATGAACTAAATTGGGTTTCATCGAACTTTTATCTTTTCTTTAACAAAATCGTGAATGTTCATTTGTCATCTACCCTTAAATCGTTGATCAATTTTGCCAATTCGGTTCTTGGTCATCGTATGAACCATAATTTATATTTTTTATTGCCATCGTATCCAATGTAACGACTACTCGTCATCGTCGTATTCTTATTAATTAATATTTTAAATAAAATCCACATATATGATATTAATTAATATTTTATCAAAATTAAACCACATTCAACTGTTATCATTTTAACAAGAAATCACCAAAAATTCAATAAGCTTCGGCGGACACTATGCATCTCGCAGTCAACCTAATATGTTTCCTTCATATGGCAATATATTTATTAAAATTCTACTAGTTGCTATAATAATTACGTCCTTTTTATTTCGTGTGTATAAACAATTATTATCTTTTTGAACAACTCTCTTTTTGGTTAATAACATAAACAATACCTATTCTTTATATAATTCATGAAAGACTAATCCCAAGATCCTCACTCACGGTCCTTAATTAGTCTTTGACCTCCTTTAATCTCTCTCTCTCTATGGTCGAGATGGAAAAAGAAAAAAATCTAACGGAGACGCTTCTCTCCACGGCGGGAAAACCCGACCCGACGACCCTTCTTCCGTTTTCATCCGCCGGTGATATTCCTCCGATCACGACCCTCAGTGGCTTCGTCAAAGAGTTTAACGTTGAGACCAAAAAGCTATGGTACTTGGCCGGTCCTGCCATTTTCACGTCGGTGACTCAATATTCTCTCGGCGCTGTTACTCAGGTCTTCGCCGGCCACGTCAGCACCATCGCTCTCGCCGCCGTCTCCGTCGAAAACTCTGTCATCGCCGGCTTCTCCTTCGGAATCATGGTAAATTACATTCAACACCCCTTGTAATATGTGTGCATGGTTTGCGTTTACCAATCAAAATGTTTTCTTTCTGTTAAAAGCCAAAATTTGAGGGATCTGTAAATCATTCAAAATGCTTTTGACTTTCTGGTGAGACTTTCCGTTTCACAGTTCCTGAATCTTTTTAGATAAAATCCAAAATTTTAGAGACGTCTAAGTTCATTCATCATTTTTTTAACATTTTCGGAAGAAAAGATATTATAACATTTTAAATTCTCTTTTTATCAATTATCATTTCAGAGATAATATATACGTAACACACAAAATGAAAAACATAAAATGTTCTTTTTCAGTTAAAATTATATCATAGTTCTAAAAATAAAACATAAGAAGTAAATGTGAATACAAACGCGGAAAACAACTGAATCCGTAATGAGTTCATTTTGTAATCAAAATATAATTTACGATTTAGATTTCTGTAATTTTCTAAGTTTTGTTTGTTTAATTTGTATGATTGTGCAGCTTGGAATGGGAAGTGCATTAGAAACGCTATGTGGACAAGCGTTTGGAGCAGGGAAATTGTCTATGCTTGGAGTTTACCTACAACGATCATGGGTGATCCTTAACGTGACCGCTCTTCTCCTCTCTCTTCTCTACATTTTTGCGGCTCCAATCCTCGCTTCCATTGGCCAAACCGCGGCGATCTCTAGCGCCGCAGGAATCTTTTCAATTTACATGATCCCTCAGATCTTTGCTTACGCCGTCAATTTCCCAACCGCTAAATTCCTCCAATCGCAAAGCAAGATAATGGTCATGGCCGCGATTTCCGCGGTTGGGCTTGCTCTCCACGTGCCCCTCACGTGGTTTGTCATGGAGAGGCTCAAATGGGGCATGGCGGGTCTAGCCGTCGTGCTTAACGCCTCGTGGTGGTTCATTGTCGTGGCGCAGGTCATGTACATATTTAGTGGCACGTGCGGTGAGGCTTGGTCAGGATTCTCGTTTGACGCTTTTCATAATTTGTGGAGTTTCGTTAGATTGTCTTTGGCTTCTGCTGTTATGCTCTGGTAAGTCTATATCTGATTCTAACCCGACCCGACCGAATCTATTCGACTCA